CACACCTTACATTTGATTTTGTTGGTTTCAATGGATTGCCCATTGCTTCAACTCCACGCTACAATAAGCAATTTCAACTTGTTGTGATGCACTTCCTTCATTAGCCATTAGAGGTGGCTCAGTTCAGAGGTGATATCTTAGAGCAGAATGATACTCAACATTAGGCCTGTGAGAGCATTTTGCTCCAAGATCCGTGCCAACATCTTCACCAGCAAAGGAAAAGCAACGCTTTGAGCGGACGGTTTTCATGTCACCAATAGAAGCCCTAGGAGTGTACTCTATAGATGTGCCACGGATCACTTCCTCCACTGCAATTGCCATTGTTTGTGTTGGTGGAGTCACTTTCTTCTTCATCCGATTGTGTAACATCTCAACTGAAGGTTCTGTTCCCATATATCATCCTTCCTCAAATGCCAATGCTTTTGAAGACTGCTCTATAGCACATATCAAATCTAATAAACATGCTTTATATAGACTCATCTTCCCTTTCCCTGCCTCAGAAGAACGCCAGTTCCAAGTTTACTCTCTAAAAGATTCATAGTTGGGGTGTATGCAAGATCCTCCAAGTGGTTGATCCTTTAAAAAGATGATATTAAACAACAATAAAAAAAGAGGAAAAAAAGAAAAATCGACATGAAAAGAGTGATGTCCACATTGGAACATCCTAACTTCCCACCACCCCAACCACAACTTAACTTGTGGTAGACAGTTTATGTCAATATGGCCATCTTCATGCCACCACATTCAAATCTCATTTGCTTTTGCCTTATGTTCTTCTTCAGAAGGTGCAGTCTACCATTGTTTACAACTCCTTAAATGCTAATTGGAAATCTGGCTTGATAAGGTGGTAATGTTAGTTTAGGATTTGAGCCCAATAGAACTCACAAGTCCTCTCAAGACCTTCTAGGGGTTGACCATTCCCAAAGACTGCCCAGACACCATTCCAATTAGCCCCGGCCCCATCTACCATGAAACCGCGAAAGTTGGCAAGCTTACCAGTCTGCTTCAATACAATGTCGGAGAGGAACTTCCAAAATATTTCCTGAGCCATCTGGTCTTGTACTTTAAACTCTGCTATTGCAATTGTCAAGTTACATCATAGCCTGTGAAAAGGGCAATGCTTAAAACCATTTTAAGATAATGAGAAAAAAAACTACCCCAGATCATACACATGAGCTCCCATGGTTGTCCAACCTGCCACCTACTCTATATGGTCAAAATGTACCCATGCATTAGCAAGGTCACTCGACCCAAACATATCTATTCGGGAAACAAGATCCACACTAGAGGTGGGGCCCATGGTAGATATTTTGAAGACAAAGGGGTGCTCTTGCTCACTAACGATTTGATCTAGAAATAAACTCCCATGGATAAACTCGTAGGGACAAGTTTGTTTTAGTTCAAGGATTGAGTCGATTTTTTATTGAAGTTTCCCCTCTTAAGATTCACACATTCAAGACTTTATCCTAAATAAAACAAAATGTAAGAGAGATATTATTAAAAAGTATGTAATAATATTTTTGTACCTCCTGAGGCTAGTTGCAAGTTGCACATGTCGTAGTAACTCCCACAAGCTAACCTCATCCAATTAAGTATTCTTGTAGTCCGGATTAAGTAAAGTGATTGGAATAAAATCCTTGAGCACTGTCTTTTGAACATGTTTCAGAGTTACAAATGAGTTTCTCACAGTCTCTATCTACACTACATCTTTGAAATGGTTGACTGAACTCTTTTGTATCCCTTTCTGCATTGGATGTGTGTGCATGCCAATATGTACTACAGCTCTACTAGCCTCTCCATCCCGTGGAAGAAAATAGTACATCTTGGCCCTATAGATGGCATGACACAATGGAGCATTCCTGCAAAACCAACACTTGAATCTAACACTAATGGTGTCACAAATGGGAGGATTGGTTGCAGATCTTTAAAAAAATATAAAGTTTTTACCACACTCTTGATTGCATTCTTTATTCACACAATCCAAATACCTACCACAATGAACCATGGATATTGTGCCTTTGAAATGCTGGAAATGTGTGATCAAAGCACCAGTTGTGGACGTCCTGCTTGGTCTCCATCCCCTTTTGTTTTGAGCTGACAAGAGGTGGTAGTTCAAAGAAGATGTTGCCATTGTATATAGATGGGAGCTCGCTAACGAGCCTATGCAAAAAGGAACGCACGTTGATAGAGGGGTAGGAAAACTGGAAAGTGTTGCAAACAACTTTGAATATTGGTGAAGTTGGAGTTTGGAAATTCTTGGCTCACACTAGATTAACATCTTTACTAAAACTAATAGAGGAAGAAATGATGATGACCGACTTTTGCTTCATATTCACTTTGGCAGTATCGCAGCCTCACACTTTGATTGGAGATCCAAAAACTCAAATCTCCTTCGACTTGGAATGTTGCAAATCCCAATGTTGTCCACCTTTACCTACACCTGAAAGAAGAAACTCTGATCATTCAACTACACTAATGTTGTTGTGAATCACAACCTCTAATGAAATAGAACCAAGAGAAAGATCGAAACGTTGGCAAAGAAAACTTTTTGAAATAAAACTTTGGGAGAAAGAAAGTGGTGAGTGATCTTGGTAATGCAAAAGAAAACTCTCTATTTTGTTACCTTTAGGTTTTGGAACACTAAACTTTTATAAAGAAATATCACCTCAAACATGTGCTATGTTATTATGTGAAAAGAAAGGGTGATTTTATTCTAGGATCTAACATCAAATAATGTTGTTATAATAAATTCTGTATGAAGTATAAAGGACTATGTTGTACAATATTAAAAGTTTGTATACATTGAATTCAAAAACATGCTTAAAGTTATTATATGGACTAACTTTTGGTAGAACGGAAAGAAATATCACCTCAAACATGTGCCATAATATGAAAGATAGGAATGATTTTATTCTAGGATCTACCATCAACCAACTGCTGCTAAACAAATTAAATATTGTACATATTTCCAGTACTTCATTAAAGTCAGAAATCATCACATTCTTCTGAACTCATTTAAATATATTCCATTTTTGTACTACCATCTATCATCTATAGTAAATTATCTATATACATTGCTTTGGAAATAACACCTATGATCTAATAATCTTATATTTTTTGACAAGATTCTATGACTTGCAAGAAACATATAATTCTCATTTATAATTACGTACTGTGATCAATTCAACACATGCATCTGTGACATTATTTCCACATTATGGCATAGTT